TTTTTTTTTTTTTTTTTTTTTTCCCCCCCCCCCCCCCCCCCCACCTATGGATAGAAATAAGAGCCAAAAATGTTAAAGGCATTTCATATGCTTTGCTGGATTTTTTTTTTTTATTTTGTCTCATTTTATATACAAAGTTTATATTTGATTATAATTAAAAATAAAAATTTATTTTTAATTATAAATTTTATTAGGATTATAATTTTTATTAACCTTTCAACGATATATTTCATCGATTGATTTTATTAAAATCAACCATGGGCCAATCATACTAACATTGCCCACTAACAATACACATGATTTGACATAGCACATTCACTTAATGTTAAATATTCACACATTTAGGTCTCAAAGAAGTGGGAATATCATGAAGCGGAACAGCTCGGAGAGTCATTACAATCCAATCCCGTCGAGGATTCTTAGGACAGTCGGAATTAAGAAATCTTCATTTAATGCATTGTTTGACTGTTTATTTATTTTTTAATTTTAAATATGATTTAACTTAAAAACATCAATATATAAAAAGATTGATGTATATCAAGTTTTATATCTTATCACGTGCCATTAGATCATTGGATAGTTTAAAACAATACCATTTTTTGGTCCAATCATTTGTTGACAAATTGGATAACATCAACAATGCATATACAAAAAGGTGTACAAATGATATTTTTCATGTATAATTTTGTCATCTCTACAATTCAATAGAAGCAAAATAAATCTTTGAATAATGCAACTGGATTGTAAATAGCAATAAATTGCTTGTACAGAAGTACAACTGCTAGAATTCCACCAGAAGCAGATGTGGCATCGTTTGGTTGATTAGCTATTTTTTTTCTTTGCTATGTTTAACAGAAATTTTCCACGTGTATTCCGATAAAGTACTTGTTTGGTAAGAATTTTGATAATTGTTTTTTTTTTACCGTTAGAGATAAAGTGGATCCTACTTGTAAGAGAAAAATTCAAAAATAACGTCTGAAATAGTGAAATAACGATCAAAAAATTAAATTTAATTAATTTAAAATTCGTACCAAACAAGTACAAAATTCTGACATAATTTTTTGGACTTTGCTATTGTACATCCGGGATTGACACCCCGGATGATATTCTCCTCACAAGAGGGGGATCCAGAATTATTTTATTACGTGTGAACCCCCTTTCTTGTAAGGAAAGTGTCATTCGAGGTATCGATTCCGGATGTACAGCTTTGACTTTGTGAGTAATTTTTTTTCAAACTAATATTGTGTCACGTGTTTCCCCATTTTTTAACTCATTTGACTCACAAAAAATTTGTCAGAAGCAGTCATCACAAACAATTATCACGTTCTGGGAAGGATCTGAAGCAAGCTTCCAAATTCAGAAACCCTAATTAATGCTACCAAATCGCTGCATTCATCAATTTCTACACCATTGACATCTACCTAACCTGTGTTTGGTGCGCGCACACTTTTCACCACATTAATTCCAACATTAGAGAACTGGGCCAAATATAAATGCATTTGCAGCATCTGAATTGGGTACCCTGCAAAATGGCTGTTGCTCACCAATATCTTAATTTTTTCCCACCTCAGATTCGCTCTTCATCATTTAATCGCCAACTTGTATCGAGGAATATAAAAAATTCATTCCTTTATTCGCCAGTTAATATTAATTGCTCAGTGTTTGTACCTTCTGCTTTGGCCAATTCAAATAATCACGCACCCGTGTCATCTTTTAGTCAGGTAATGCTGAAAGCTTCTTCTTCTATTCCATCCTTTGTTTCATTTTTTTTTTCTGGGTTCTGATGATGGATTTCATTAATTCGTTTCTCCTTAATTTTTGGGAATGGGGACTTGTTGTACTTTGATTATTATTTTTATATTTGAGGGATATGATAATTTAGAATTGAATTTTAGAATATGTTTCGACTGCTTGTTTGAGCTTTTTGGACGGAATGAAATTCTCTTTTGAGCCTTTTGAGATCGGATAAGTGGTGTAGCCAAGCCTTATATGTTTTGAAATTTTTAATTAACAGTTGATAGAGGGTTTGATAAGTGGGGTGGACTTATCGGAAGCTGAAGCAGAGGCTTCTCTCGATTTCTTGCTGAATGGTGCTGATGAAGCTTTGATTAGTGCCTTTCTTGTGTTGTTGAGAGCTAAGGGAGAAACTTATGAAGAAGTAAGTGAATTTTTTATGTTCTCATAACTTTTCTGATGAATTTATGATTTCTTAGAGAAGAAAATCAGTGATATTAGGAATATATTTTTCAAAAGTTGAATATATTGATGTAGGATTCAAATAATAAGTTATTGGCTGAATAAAGTTTACTGAAACTGTGCCTAATACACGTCATGATGTGACACGTATCTACGAATAATTATAGCTGTGACGAATTTTAAAAAAAAAAGAGCTGAAGATAATATCTAATGTGAAGTGCAGCGATTTATAAGAGCATGCTTGAATAAGCTTTAAAAGTTTACTTATAAGTAAATAAGTGAGTTTTAAAGTAAATAATTTGTTGATAGGTCGAAGTTGGAATAATAAGAGTTACTCTTACCTAAAGTTACTACCTTTCTTAGACGTGACTTGTAGCAATCATGTTATTCAAAAATACCCCCAAGTATTCTAATCCTAGCAAAATTTGTACTTCTGTGTAATCCCATGGGCCCAAAAGTAAGTGAATGTCCCTGAAATGTAGTTGGAACCCGAGTTCATTCGTAAGGGTTTGTCTATTAGGTATTAAGTGCATTTATTGTACAAGAAACTACCTTTTTGGTACCACACAATGTTATATTTTGCTAGTGTGTTACTATCAAGCAGGTGGTTGGACTGGCTAGGGCGATGATAAAACATTGTACCAAAGTGACAGGATTGAATGATGCAGTTGACATTGTTGGAACGGGTGGTGATGGTGCAAACACGGTGAACATATCGACCGGAGCTTCGATACTTGCTGCAGCTTGTGGTGCAAAAATTGCTAAGGTGGACGATTTGCTTCCAGATAATCCATTTTATTAATTTTGATGACGTGGTGAAATGATATTCACATTGAGGTTTGTCTTGCAGCAAGGGAATCGGTCAAGCTCGTCTGCTTGTGGAAGTGCTGACGTACTGGAAGCATTGGGGGTCGCAATCGACTTGGACCCAGAGGTTATTGCAGTTATTATGATATAGTTAAATCTGAACTAATTTGAACATTTTCTGTAATAAATTTTATATGTACACCTGAACAGTATTTTCATTTTTTTTTTCTTTTTCCTTGGAGATTAGATGGTGATTTTGTTTCTTCTTATTATTTTTGGAGCAATCGCCATAGCATACTTCAGTTGTAATTTGATTAGTTTGTCAAACAGAGAAAACAATCTAACCGAAAAGAATTGTATGGTCTTTTATAATACCAGAATTTGAAGTATATGTTTGTTTTACTTCCTATGGTGAATTATTTTGTTATTAAATCCAACAAGGGATGATAAACACAAATTATTTTCTGAATGAGCTTCATAACTGTTATGCATTCTAATTCCATCATTATATGGCTCAATCCATTAAAATTCCATGAGAACTACCAATATTGAATCTCAATACGATTTGCTTGGCCCTTTTTCTTGTATCTGTTTAAACTTTTAGTATCCAGAGAGAAGTATTAACAGAGACAGGGAGCTTTTACATGTTAACATAACTTTTAAATAGAATATTTTCTTCCAAAATCAAGGCATCTTATCTAATAGTTCATCTGGAATATCGTTCTGAACCTTCAGTTATACAAGAAGATGGCATGTTCATGTTCATCTTCCTATTGGCTGTACAAAAATCATACAGCATGTTTGATGAGAGGATTGAATAGTATAACAGCATTAATGAAAAAAACAGTATGATAGAAATCATGTTCATTATATTGTCAAGTACTATGTGCATTAGCCTCCACGCCATATAAGATACATAAAATTGGATTAGCATGCAGTTGTGCCTGTGATGTGAGTTGACTACAGAAATAATCTCAGATCATGTATACTTGCATAATTTATATTCAGCCTGTCCTTCAATGCCTATTATTATTTGTTCAGGGGGTATCGAGATGTGTGATTGAAACTGGGATTGGTTTCATGATGGCTCCTATGTATCACCCGGCAATGAAAATCGTTAGACCTATCAGGAAAAAGCTGAAAGTAAAGACTGTATTCAATATCTTGGGCCCAATGTTAAATCCTGCAGGAGTTCCTTTTGCCGTAGTTGGGGTATACGAAGAAAATCTAGTGAGCACTTTGACTCTCAATTGTGTAATTTTGAAATCTAATCTCTGATAAGTTGAACTTGTTGATAGAACATATTTTCTTTTTAATGATGCTTTCAGCGTTACAACTGTATCTTCTTGCCTATGGTATTGATTTAACCTTCTAGAGCCATAACAAACTCATTGTATAGAACTTTAAGAAGTTGCATAATTAGTGCATGTTTGTCTAAGCTTAAACGATTTACTTACAAGAAAATAAGTGAACTCTAGAGTAAATATTAATTTTTCAAGGTCAAATTGGAAATAAGTTACTATGAAAGTATTCCTTACCTTAATGTCCAATAAATCCATTTTAACTTCTGAATTTTGGGAACATGAAGCTACTTGAAAATAACTTTGAATTACTTTTGTGCTTAGCCAAACACGCAGCCCTTTTCTCCAATACATTCTCCTCTGCATCTTCCATCGTTTTGATCTTTTCATATTGATTTAACGCTTTTGACCTCCTAAAGAAGTTTCATGCTTTTTGGGAAAAATAAAAATAAAAAATCTGTCCTTGACTAGGTTCATAAGATGGCAAAAGCACTTCAACGGTTTGGTATGAAGCGAGCATTAATTGTTCACTCTGAGGGCCTTGATGAGATCAGTCCCCTTGGTAAGAATCCTTTCTGTTTTCGGAAAATAGTTCAAACAGTCATGAAGACTGGATCTCAATCTTGAAAAGGAATCTTGACCATTTTGTATTTATCTTAGAGAGCTTATTATCTGTTAACAATTTGCGTTAAATTCCCCTAATGAATGTGAACAGGTCCTGGACTAGTCCTTGATGTTACCCCAGAAAAGATAGAAAAGTTCTCATTTGATCCATGTAAGAATCTTTCCACTCCCCCCTATGATTTAGTAATTTTGATACTGACAAGCTCAAATATTTTAGCTTTGTTGCTTCATACAAATGCTCGAGTAGTTTTACATCTTTGACAGTTTTGGAACAAATATTTGTTGGAAATTGGTTTAAAATTGAGAAAATTTGGTTAAGCATAAATGTAGAAAAGTGACTTTCGTGTCAACTTTGGCCAAATATTCGAATTTGATCCGATAGTCAAATTACAAATATAAATAAACTAACTTGTTTTACTTGTCGAATAGATTATCGTGTTATATTTGGAATCTCAAAACCAATTCTGGGAGAATAAGAAATTGCGGTCCAAAGTAGGAAGAAAAATAGAGGAAAATTGGTCTGGATTTTATCCAACTTTGACGCTCACCTATCGCTCAAGCGATGGGGAGCGACGAGGCTGTTGCTCGAGCGACAGGCGAGTGAAAAAATTTTGTTAAAATTTTAACAATGGAGCTCGAGCGAAATGCCAAAGCTACGAGTTTTGGTGCACATCACTTCACTCACAATTTCTCACTCTCGATAAATAGGACTATTTGGACATCCACAATTCATCCCATATCACTTTTGCATTGAGCATTGCATAAAATTTCTTGCAAAAACTCTTCAACATCATTTCAAACCCATTTCTTCTTGTAGAGAGAAGGCTCCATTCTAAGTTCACTAAAACATGTGATTTGAAGTGCTTCTACCACAAATTGAATTCATTGTATTTTTAGAGACAAGTTCCATACACCGTTAGCACCGTTGCGAGGCAATGTTGTCTTAAGTTCTCTTTCTTCTCCTTTTTTGTTGGGTTATACACCCTCCAACATTTGTTGTGTTTAATTACGCTCCTACGAATTAAACTTTTCTACTTCATCGATTCATTACAAACAACCCTTTTTCCACCATATTCTAAACAAAAATATTCACAAATTTTAGTTGGACTCTTACCAAGTATTTCTTTGATTTCTTGAATGCATTTTTTCTCAGGGAGGATATTGCGAATTTTTTTATTGAACTTCACCTGTCATTAAGTATTATATCAGAATTGTAGTCTTACAAAATCAGTCATTTTCTAGTGGATTTTGGGATCCCTCGCTGCTCTATAGACGATCTGAGAGGCGGAGATCCAGAATACAATGCAAATGTACTAAATCGTGTGCTATCAGGAGAAAAGGGGTCCATAGCTGATGCGTTGGTTAGTGTTTCATATATATATATATATATATATATATATATATATATATATATTAATTATTTTATTTTTTAATTTTTTTTTCGTTTCTATATTTAATTATTAGGCATATTTTGATACAATGTATATTCATTAAAATTGAACTACAACTTGGAAATATAAGAGTAAAATTTCCGTATGAAAGATCTCTTCATATAGTCAGTCTGCACTTAAGAGAGGTATTTTTTCATCTTGAATCGCACACAGGTGCTAAATGCAGCAGCAGCTCTCTTGGTCAGTGGACATGTAACCAATCTAGCCGATGGAGTGGAAGTGGCTCGTGAAACACATCTATCCGGGAAAGCTACCAAGACCCTTGATCTATGGAAAAAATTCTCCAATGTAAGGGGACGGATCCCTGTGAATGTTTCGGTTTTGTTCATTTCTCCCAAGCTAATAGCCACTGTTTTGTGTTTCAGATAGTGAAAGAAGATGCATTGAGGGCGACCCTGTAAGGACATAACTTTTAGTGTGTGTTTGAACCACATTATTTTTAACGAATGTATTTTGAAATAATAGATTGATGGAGTGCATGGTTATAAAATAAGGAAAAATTTTGAATTTATGTTTAATATTATTTTATTGAAGGACGTGTGATTAAAATTATATCAAATCACTATTTAAGAATATTTTTTTTTTTCAAATAATACGATTCAAACAAGGTCTTAATAGCATAGGCTGTTAATTTAATGGCTCGAGTGATCCACAAGAGATGAAGAAAATTGATAAATTTTGAGCCTTGTAGACATTATGTAGCTGGTAGTAAATTTATGTCGAATTGGTGTAAAGGTGACATACCAGTTGAGATCATATTTGTACTCCAATTACACTATATCCAACACAATGAAAAGATCCTTGAGTTTCGACATACAAAATTGCATCTATTCTGAGATTTCTAGCATTTCTTCCGACTCCTGGATCAGTTCAGAGTAAGAAGTGGGGCCGATACCCCAGATCGACACTTGCTTTTCTCACAATTTTCACATTATGGCATCAAGGTGTTGGGCATACTAATTGTTACGGAATAACGCCAAAAGAAAGGTTATGCCAAGCCAATGGAGTACAGAAAACATTAACAACATAGACCACCAAGATTGTTTATTGAATATAAAATGCATAGTACTTTTTCAATACGACTTATTTTCCACATAAGTTTCTTTCTTCTTCACATAAATTTACGACTGAACAGATAGTTTAGCGATTGCACCAGCATCAGCTAGCAAGGGAACGAGCTTTCCTTCATTATGTTTTTCCATGACCGCTGCAAGTGAAAAACGAGGGAAATTAGTAGTGCAAATGCACAGTGGGATTTTTTTGACATACTGGTTTGGCTAAATCTTCTCAATAACAGACAGGAACTTACAGTCACAACCACCAATATGTTTGCCACCAATGAACACGTTTGGCACAGTTCTCTGCCCAGTCCACTCAGCTAGAGCCATTTGAATCTCATCTCCATCACCTTCAAACAGACAAATAAAACACTAATCAGCTTCAACAATGGCACACAACACAAATCTTACTAAAGCAGGAGAAGAAAGAAACTTATATGGCCTGGAAGATGATGACAAGCTGACCCCAAATTTATTGGGAATAATGCTTAGAGCAGGTTAAGCTTTAAAATTTCATTTAGGGGTAGAAAAGTTTGTTATAGGTCAAAGCTGAAAACAAGTAAATCACATAGTTTGATAGCAAGGTAAGAAAACAGTATCTTTATTACGTAAAAATAAGAGAAAATTAAAAATACAAACGTGATTGGAAACAAAGTAACTTTTACTTTTTTAAGCTCGCCAAACATCTAGATTGTTGTATACATTTATTTAAAAAACTCAAGAACTGCCAAGTTATGAACACATGGAACAGAGACAGAGTGCAGAAATATGCAACTGATTATTAAACTCTGCCAACACGAAATTAATCAGATGCAGTAAAGATATCAAAATGTCGAACATTCATTGCTATAAATGGAATCGAGCGGTATACACTTACTCTCCTCATCAAGTTCGATGACTTTGTATGTTGCATTCAACTGGGAAAACAGCTGCTTAACCCTCTTGCAATATCCACAGTAAGTTTTACTGCACGAAAGAAAGTATCAATAAAGCATGACAATAATGCAATACTTCAGCAAGTAATCAGATTCTTAAATTGTTCATCAGGGAAGTGTTTGCATTATATTGAAAAGGCATCATCTCATACTTATTGCGTGTTTTTTCCTTATGTTTTTGCCCATGTCCAGTTTCAAATTCGTTAAATTCAAGAAAATAGGAATGATTTCTTACTGGTGTCAATCTGATCATTCTTCGGCTAAATATAAGGCAAATCTATAGTATATGAAGGTTAAAAGTCAAGAAGCAACCCTTACTTGTTTACTCTTATTTCTTCAACAATTTTATAAACAATCTCCGTGGACTCTCTTTCCATCAACAATGTCTCACACATATACGTAACAGTAGTGCTTAAATAAAAATATCTCCAAGAGAACCTCTAAATACAATATACTCTCCATTTTAGAGATACTTTATTCTTATTAAACGCATTTAATATGCTACTTATTTCAATACTTTAGCTTGTTATATTATTCAAATCAAAATTGAATGACCATTGACAAATAAAAATACTATATTAATTAATAGATGAAGAGCAATCAATAAATGTTTCTTTAGAAAAGAGTCTCGGGGAGATACTACAAAGATGTTAATAGGCATAGATGAAACAATTTTACTAGATATTATGAAGTTTTTAGAGGTTACATCAAGAACGAATAAGATTGAAAATAAATAAAAATTAGACTAATAAGATATAGAAGTAACAAATATTAAATCTTCAACATATATACCCAAAAAATCTCCAAGAAATCAGAAGTTCATCAAGAAAATGGCAAAATTTTGAGCTAATTTTCCCGGGGAAAAAGCAGTAACTCCATGAATCTTTCATTAACTTAATATAATCAATTCATCAAGACTGACAGTTTCAAGAATGATTAAAAAAAAATTGACCTAAAAACAACAGCAGGGTTGGAGTTGACGATCTGCTTGGCTTTGGCAAGAGCCATCTCAATTTGCTCTCTGTTCTTTTTTGAACTGAAAACAGAACCCATCTTAACCTTCCCTCTTTGTTGCTGTTCAAGAGAGAGAAATGTTAACAGGTGTTGAGAATTTGGCTCTGCTTAGTGTCCTGAATGAAATCACAGATGGCTCTTATCAAGAAGACAAAGATCTTGAATCGGCGCGGCTGTGTGTCATCTGGTGCAAATCACAAGCAAATCCTTTTGCAATTGAACTCTGCACTAAAATACGAGGAAATGCGCCATTTTACACAGCCATATTTCCAAAATGGCATTTGACCAATTAAAAAGAAAAAAAAAAAAAAAAGATAATAGTTAAAATAGTTTTTTATATAACATTTTCCAAAATACCCTCATCTTCTACCATCAAAGAAAGAGAGAAAAAAAGCAAGAAAAAAAATAAAATTTCTTGTCTACCATTGGGATCCGGTTGACACTTGAGTCCTCATAGTCTACCCGATATCGACTACTACAAAACTTGTTCATTATTTTCAGCACAAGGTTAGATTTTTTTGGATTTAAGCTATAGATTTTTCATTTTATTTGTTTTGTGAAATTTGCATTAAATTCTTATATATAATGTGTATGAATGACTTATAATTCATTATTTAGATAGATTTAGGGGTGTTAGTTGGATTTTGGGGGCCGATTTGAAGTTAAGGTCGCTGGAAAAGGGGCGAGAAGTTGGTGGCACCAACTGTAGGCTGACACAACCGGCCCAATGTACTTTTTTTTTTCTATTTGTTTTTCTTTCGTTTTCTTTCCTTTCTTACTACAACAAGTTATGGTATTTGATTGTAAGGTTGCAACTTTTTTCGTTGAATCATGTGAAAACATTTCTAATGTTAGAATATCACTTCAGGCCCATTAAATATTTATTATTATTTTATTTTTTTTCAAAAATCATTGTGCTAGTAAATGAAGCTTGCACTAATACTTTATATATAATAAATTACTTATATAAAATTTGAGATGAGTAGCTAAAGTGAGTTGCTATAGTGCAAGCTTCGTTTACTATCACGATAATTTTTGAAAAACAGATTTAATGGGCCCGAAGTGATATGTCAACATTAGAAATGTTTTCACCTGATTCAAACGAAAAATAGTTGCAGCCTTCCAATCAAAAGTTATACCATAACTTCTTGTAGTACTTGTTCACTGTAGACTTTTTCTTACAAAAGTTTCAACAGCTAACACCTTCTTCCTTTCAAAAATCAAAACAGGAGGACGAGAATATTGAATTTCACAACCTGTCCCTACTAGGATTTAACAAAAATGAAGTGATCTTTCATTTTCTTCTCACATACTTTATCTACTACATGTGGCTACCTTTTACATATTTAGAGAAGAACACATATGTCGATAGATATTATATTAAAATTGGTGGTGCAGTAGTGAACAGTGATTGCAACAATTCCAGCATAAAAAAGTCTTCGTCATCAGTATTATAAGACCATACATCCATCCAAACAGTCCGATGAAATTTCAGTCCATCTCGCGTCATCACCTAGCTATCTCAAAATATTCCACATAGCCTCTAGTCATGTTGATCTAAAAAAGGAAGATGAAATGGAGAATGAGTTTATCAACAACTCGTGAGCGAAATATGGCGGAAGAGTGTAAATGATGCATGAGATGAAATGAATATTTCTTTATCTTCATTTTCCTTTGGCCAATATGGAGTCATTGTTGTATACTTGAGCTCAAATTAATAAAGTGGCATTGACATAATATTGGCCAGTACTTAATTTGCCTTCTCTCGACTAGAATTCTCCTTTTTGCCACTAATGATTGTCGAACTTAATGCTGGTTTCTCAGCTTCAACAATCACTTAAGGTCAGGCTGTTCATTTGACGTTGTATACAACAAATAACCAATTTTCGTACTTTTAAATGCTCACGTCATACAATTATTTTAATAGAACTTCAACATCATAATTTTATACTTAGGTCCTATTTGGGCTACATTCTTTCAAAAAAATACATTCATAAACAGTTATTTGACATCATTTCAACCACACATTCTTCAATAAAATAACATCACACGTAAATCCAAAATTTTTTCTTATTTTTTAAACACATTTTCCATCAATACATTATTTAAAAATGCATTCTTGTGAGAATAATGTGGTTCAGACAAGGGCTCAGTTCACTATGTTAAAAACATGATGTATTGCAAGTAAGCTTACCTTAACTTAGTTCTAGTTTACTGCAGGATATCAAAGCATCTTACATCAACATGTATATAAGCAAATAACAATTTGTAGGTTGTATTGAAGCACATAAGTCAAATAGAAACATATTTCACTCATCATTTTTGAAGAATTTATTCCAGCAACTTTTTCTGTTCTTGTTATTTTTAGCTTCTAATATGGTCAGGAAATGTATGAATGTTAGCACTTAAATAGGGCCATTTCCACCTTTCAAAACTTCCCATTGGATGATTTGAATACATATATTTTTCTTCCTTAGTCTTTAAGATAGATAACTAGACCATATGGTTAGGAAGTAGCTCTATCATCCCCTATGTGTTCACTCCCTTTGAAGATAGTAAATATATACCTGTCTCTAGGAAGTAGCTGCATCATTTCTTTGTGGTTTATTTATTTTTCTTTGGATTATAATCCTAAATTATTTATTTATTTTAATTAACTATTCATAGCTCTATGTTATTTTACTTTGCTAAAATATGGTAATTTAGTTATTCACGAGATATTCGAAATTCTAGTGACAATCTTATTCGTCAATTGATATACTATCTCAAGTTGAGAAACGGACTCAACTTTTAGGCAAAACAAGGATGACATTATAATTCAACGTATTTAAACAATTTCATTAACTAAAGACTACTCGTAGTAAAAGGTTAGAGATCAAGTTGTTCTTTATTTGATAGTAAGAAATCGATTGTTTGACTGTTAGAGGAATCCACCATCCAACGGCTCCTAGTCATGGTATCATCGTGCCAACGGTGAAGTTGCATCACATATCACGCATGCACACTCACCACTATCCTATTCTATTCTAGATATTCATTTGTTTAATGTTCCGGCAAGCCAACTTGCATGTCTGCCCTTCAAACCCGTACCCTGCCCGCCTGCCCAAAACATTAGCATCTAAGAATACCACTATAAAAGGCAATGAACCCTACTGATTTTCTTCATTGCGCAGCTTCTCCTTTTCTTTCTATTTTTAGTATATACATTTCATTTGTTTGAGCTTTCGACTCTGGCTATTATATATGTCTATGTTTGTGTTTTCCAGCTTAAAACACTTTGAGATTGATTGTGCGGTCGAGTTTCGATATTTATTTTTTCTTATACATATTGTGCGATATCGATATATATCTTACATTTTAACTGCCATATTCGTTGAAAAAAAATAAAATTTCATTACGTTTCTTCCATTCGAGAGTTATATAAAGAACCATGTTTCTTAAAGTAAATTGTGGTGCAAAAAACTTCCATCCGCTTGTGACATCTAATGAGCAAAGCGGCCATATATTTGCACATAGCGAAAGTGCAAAACACCTTCAACTGTGTGTTTTGGGCTATTTTCTTAAGGGTTGACTTTAAATATGAGGTTAGTTAAACCCTGTTAGATCTATCAGCAGACATTTCTACTATCTGAAACTTAGTATTTATGTCAGATTTTTGATTTGCCAAACAAGCCTGAGCATAATCATATCAAATTCAATGAGATCTAAATTCAATGCAAAGTACAGGACAGTTAGTTTAAGAATATTATAAGTATGTTCGATCGCACTTACAAGCTAAATAAGCTATTTATGTGAGAATTTTTTCATCGATAATTGGTTGTTTTAAGTTACAGGTCGCCAAACATCCTCTAGATATCTAGAGGATCATGGGGTGTATTATTTGTATCACACTAGTATTTGTTTGGATAAAATTATAATGAAATTACATTAATAATGAATAGTAAATTTCACAATATGTGTGAACAATAATTGAGAATGTATATTTGAGATTAAGCTTGAAATTGTAACAAGATTATAATTTTATCCAAACAAGTAATTAGATGACATAACATTATTACAAATTTAGTGAGATCATGAGACTCGAGCACTACCATGAAGATCAGGGAGAGTTATTCGAGACAATTACAATACCCAAAAATAATGTCTGGTTCGTAAAACATTTTTTCCCCACACGAATAATGTGACTTATATTAAGTACCGGATATTTCGTCCTTGTTTGGTTTTTAGTTTCTAAATTCATTTTTTTTCAAACTTATTTTCAACTATACATTTCATAGAATTTACAATTTTTATCAACTTTTTAATCACACATTTTATCAATATCTATCAAAACCTACTAAAAAATTGATTTTTAACTAAATTAATGGGGTTTAATTTTTTTGAATAAAACTCCCTGCACAGGCCTCTTTGCACAGGTCCCTTTGCACAGGGTCTCTCACATGGGGGTGATCCCATGTATGGGGTTCACCCCCATATATATGCACCTGTACAAATCCTGTGCAAAAGGGTCTATGCAAGTAGCACAACTGAATTTTCTTTGGATGATTCAATAATGCAAAAGTACATTGGAGATGGGGTGGGCCCAGATGAAGTGACCTTGTACAAATTGATAGTTGTATAATTTCAAAGATGAAAATAAGTTTTTCTCCCCAAAATAAGAAAGCAGCTTTGACACATTTTGAGAAGAAAAAAAGTAGCTTAAAAAGTTTTAATAAAAGGGTTCAACTTCAGAATAAGCAAAAGAAGAATTCATAAAAGCTAACTTAGGCTCCCTAAAGAAGAAATGATGAGAACTTCGGTTCGGTTCTCTTTAGAACCGAACCGAACCAAAATTTTCAGCATCTAGTAAATGGAACCATCGGGTCCAAATATAATTATAGAACCGTTCGGATTCGAGTTCGATTCCGTTCTGTACTATAATTAAATTTTTTAACATTTATAACAACATTATATAAATACAACTAATGATACATTCAATGATTTTTGGAATGTTAGATACTAGTAAACTACCTTGTTCAAATGATCGCTACGGTCAAAATTTCAATCGACGGAGGTCACAGCTTCGATCGGAGGTCACAGTGTCGACCGACGATTGTATTGATTTTGGAATATTAGCGAGACTGCGAGAGTGGGTACGAGAGTCGAGACAACGTTATACATTTTAGTGTAGGCGTTTAGGGTTATTTAGAGGATTGAATCTTGTTGGGCTAAGAAATGAAACAATAAAATGAGTAATTGGACCAAAAATTAAAAAATTAGAAATAAAACAAATTATTGGGCCAAAAATTTGGATTTAGAAATTGTTAATTTGTTTAGAAAAAATTAAAATTAATATAATTTGATTTACTTAATATAAAAAAAAAATTAGAAAAATTCGGTTCTTATTCGGTTCTTGGTCTAGAACCGAGAATCAAACCGTACTCGTCGGTTCTCAATTCAGATACCCGTTCGGATATTTAATTTGACAAGAACTGTCGGGTTCGATTCGATTCGATTCGGGTTCGGTTCGGGAGATTTGCCCTAATGAGAACAGACAAGAATTAAGCATAATCCTGCTTTTGATACAAACAGAAATGTTACATCTACTTATTATCCACACATTTCCAAGACCCACTACTCATTATAATGGAAAAGAGTAAAAACCTGAAAAATGAAGTCTACAGCCAGATGGAAGAACAAAACAGATACGAGCAATGAAGCACTCGGAGAGTTGCAGCTTCTCGTTGGAGTGGCTCTCAGAAAATGTTCAATGAACATTACCATTCGTGCAGCAACTTTATTAAGCCTTTTTATCACATTTTATCCTAATTTTCTAGGTTGTTGATGTTCTTTCTTATTCATCTATTTCAGATTCCTGCAATAGTAGACCAATAAAATGATGAAGTAACTTGCCCAAAGGGCTAATCCACAGTCAAGATTTCTAACTTCTCCAATTTCACCATGGCCAGTGTCACTTATGGAATGTTTGATAATCAATTGAACTTCAGTGTGTTTTTTTTTTTTTTTTTTTTTTTCAGGTTGTGTGACGTCATCTCAGCTCCTCTCACAGTGAAAGAGAGAGCCGTCACCAGTTGTGCTGCCCTATTCAGCTGGTGTAATCTATAAACCTGCAAGAGTGTCGAAAGGAAAAGGCAGACGTATCATTGATCATGGTGAACTTCCGACCTAAAGATAGTTAAATGTAGCGCAACATAAATTAATTCCCCAAGACTATCATTCTATGCATTCTGCAGAACCTAAACACTTGTACCCAAAACCAACAAAAGAAAGACTAGGAACAAAATTGTGTATATTGTTGGCAAGTGGCTTTATTGGAATTTGGGACAACCTAAATATGAAAATAGGGCATTTAATATGAAATGGAGGGGTGTTGATTATGAAATGGCACCTGGCATTATACCGGTTTAATGACAGATAACATGGGGTATTGTCATTCATGAGAAAGATCAATCAATAGGCGCAGATTTCTAGACTGATCTATGTATATAACGTATTGTACCGTCTTAAAAAGACGGAAATATTGTGTCAATTGACTCAATTCTATAGTATATGCAAATTAGCATTTGGGTCCAACCTGAATTCGTCCAATTTAGCAGTTAAAACATCATGCCTCTTGAACATGATAAGGATTTTGATAGAAAATACTAGTCTACTTCATTTAATATATATATATATATATATATATATAACCGAAAAACTCATCTTTTTCCTCCCCAGACCTCGGACCCCTCAACTCCCATCATCCCCTCCACCACCTCCCAACCCCTTCAGTTGAAGGTCCTAGTTTAACAATCTTCATTTCAATCACATAATCACTTTGTATTGCTTTTCACAATTGTGTGACACAACAAAGATCAAGTAGATACCCCTCAATTAAACTATTAAATAGCTTTCGGTTATGCAAATTTAGCAGCTGTTGCCAGCATTGGAAAATTAACATTTTTCTTCCGTGGGGAGAGGTGGTAGGGAACTGCAAATTAAACAGATAAGGGTTGGAGGTGAGGTAAGGGGGACAGCAGGGGAAAGAGACTAGTGAAGTGGGAAGGGGAGAGGGAGCAGGGGCAGGGGAAGGGGGGATGTGGGAAGAAGTTGTGCTTGTCCTTTTTCTATTTATTTAGAGAAATATATAACATTGCCCATTATACTCTTGAAACATGTTTACATACATTTCCAATTAACAAGAGCATGATGGCAAAATAACAGCAGTAAATTCAATTCTACAAGAAGTTTTGAATGATTCTGAATGAGTGAGTTGAAATGAAAGGTCAGTGTTGTTACCTGAAAGATAATGGGAATGGCAGGCCATGAAGGAGACATAATGTGTCTTGCATATTGCTCGAATGCAAACTGGACAACAAGACCAACAAGGTAGGGAGCTAGAGTAGCAGAAGCTGCAGGGCCAGTCCACGGCCAAACAAAACCCATAGTCACCATTGGAATTGTAAGACTAAGAACCAAGACAGCAACAGAAGATATTCTGTGTCCCAGATGCGGTTTAAGGTCCATGTTAGTTGCTGCAGATATGAGCGTAATAGGTCTCCTCAAATGGTCTATTAGGAGAAGAAATACAGCAACTCCACAGTAAAATAGTGCCTCCGTGAAGAATAATATTAGGAAGTCTGCCAAAACAAGCAAATAATTTTAATGACTATATCCTAATCCAAAAATAATGTCGTGATAGATCAACCACACAAAATAATCACTGCAATTATTTGTTTTCCTTTTCCTGACCCAGCTGAAATCAGTAGTAGTTTAATATTTAGCCTTTGTTTGTCAACCATTCTACCACATTATTTTTTTTACATTACTCATTTTCATTCACACATTCTTCATTAAAATAATATTACACATAAATCAAAAAAATTCCTTCTTTTTTAACCACACATTTCAACATCAATCACTATTCCATAATACACTTTTTGAAATTAAAGGGGCACAAACAGGCCCTTATTATATCAACATCTATATGGTCACAAGAAGTATGATGGTAAGTGTGAAAAGATTTATGCAAACTTATCTGATGTCAACAATGATAACTTCGCAATCAGTAAATTTTGTTTTCCAAGCCAATGCAACTTTTTTAGTGTAAGATCATCAAAATGAACTGGGTATATATATGACAGGGACTATTTTCATTTAATGAGTGAATAATGTTTCTTCTACCCAAAGAGGTGCAGTAACTCTGGAAGGCAAACATGCTTTTAGCTGATGTTTTGAATGCAACAATATCCAGACATACTTGAACACGTATGTCACACTCCTCAGACCATGTCTGAATTGAATTCCAATGCTCCTATGCTTTTAAGCTATGTAGTATAGACACTCTAACTAGGGTAGCGTATCCGTGTCCGACACGTGTCCAATGCCGACACTTTTCGAACACTCTACAATAATCATTTTCCTTTCTTACTATAACTATTATATATCTTTAATTCAAAGTTATTAGTAAATAACAAATAAGTACTCGTGTTTAAAAGATTTCAACAAAAAAAAAAAAATATCAATAATAAGTATAAAACTAAATTTAAACTATATAAATGAAGAATTTAATGAACATGTCGATGACGTGTCGTGTCAATACTTTTAAAAAAAATTATGAGTCGACGTATCCAACACGTATCGTGTCGGACACACACACATATCCATGTCGGTGCATCATAACTTTTAAGCCAACATATTTTTTTTTAGTTCAAACAACAAGAAGCATCTAACTTCACTTAACAGGGTATCTAGAGATTTATCATCATCAATCTGTTATCAACACCCTTCACTAATTACTTTTTTCCTCAATTCAAATTTAATGAAATCAACAATTCCAACTCCAGTTTTAATATCTAATATGATGACAAAGAAGCTTCACACAGGCTAAAGATTTGAAAGCCTAGCAAATCATTCCAGAATTTTCAAGGCAAAACAATATAGAAGGGTAACCAAGAAACAAGGAATAGAAAGAAGTACCAATGCTGCATTTAAAGATGCTATAAAACAGCAGACCATCAATGTTCTATTACGCAATGAGCTAACTTTTGTAACAGGTTCTTAGGACATTCAAATGCCTTCGGTAGCATTCAAGGGAAATTAAAACATCTACAAGACTATTAGCATTTAAATAATAAAAAATGAGATCAAGAAACATGGTAAAGCATAGCAAGCAACATCAACCTTTGTTAAGTACATATGTATCGCCATAAATTTGGTTTTTTTTCTTTTCTCAGGAGGAATAAAGATAATGATGACAATGATGCAGTTGGAACAAAATAAACAATATCAACAGGTCAGGTACAGAAGTAGCAGCTCAATCTAGCACAAGGTTTGCCTACCTGTTAATAGAGAGTCCTCAAATATAGTGGCGAGTATCTTGCGCAAATAAAGTGAAGGAAAGATGAAAGAGGCTACAAGGACAGTGGGACCGATAAACCACAATAGACTACTGTGATTTTCCCCAGCGGTAGACACCAAGATTTCGTTTTCTCTTCGGCGAGGACGATTGTAAAACGAAACAAAGCCAGGTTTTCCTTCAGATCCTTCAATATGGAAGTATGAACAGTTTGTGGGGGAGGCATCTTCAGCAAGTGGGACTTGAATTTCCTGCTCGAAGTCATCTGGTTCGAGCTCACTGTATGATAGCTGATCGTCAGTTGAAGCAAAGAGAATACATCGCCTATTTGACAACCTTTCTTTCACTGTTAGCTTTCCATATATGAGCTGGCATGATTTAACAACTTGCAGAAAAAAGAGAGGATTATTAGGATAATGGTTAATAGTCACGTCACAATATGAAAATTCAAGTACATGTTATTTAAAATCAACCAATTTGAACACATTAATTCTCAAACAAATGAAAGCAGAGCTTACAGTGATAGTTCAGTGGAGAAGAAACTCTTAAAAGGCCATAATTATATATGTGGTTTATTTATCAGAAAATATCACTACATTTTGGGTAAGCTAAACTGCAACACTGAATGTTTCACAGAAGGTTGGGAAAAGTAAGTTGCGTCTTATATTAAAATTCATAAGGCAATTTTAATATGATAAAATAGCTACCTCTAGCATTTCTCAACCGGTCTGTATTGTATTGCTTGCTATCAAACAATCCTAGCCTTGAGATCAACTGGAAGACCAACAGACAGGAGTCAGGAATTCTTTTTAAAGAATATTTTATGATTAACAGAAAAAATAAATTAATGGAAAAAATAAATTAACAAAAAGGAGAAACTATGCATATATGCACACTGCCAACTAAAAGTGCTAAGAAAAGTAGGAAGATACTAACAATGCCATCAATTTAGGTTGATAGGCATTATCTACTCCGTCAATGAAATAAAAGCTGACTGAAGTGATAAGATGTTCTCCACTAAAATAGCAAGATCAGTCGTTTTGAAGCTTCTACCATGATTATAGAAGGTAAAACTTCACGAATAAGTTTTCCCTTAATTATTACAAACTCCCGCATACCAAGCAACTCATATGCATTCATCTCAACTTTGACTCCCAAAATTCCAAATTAGGGGTCATCTTCGTGATATCAATATTCAACCCTTGCTTATCCGAACATAGTTGTATAAATAAGCATATCTTCACATCACTAAATGATAAATATCCATATTCCATAGTTCGACCCAAGCTATTGATACTAGAGTTGACATGGTAAGTTAAACTGTTTTGTAGTGGTATCGATAAGCATACCATTGTATCACTGATTTATAAGCATATCCACGGTTGACCCCTCACTGTCCTATTGATACCAGAGTCCAGAAAGGCTCATATTATGCATACCCAAGGCTAATATTCAGAGAATACTTACCCTCACTAACAATGCTATATTAATGAGTATATAATCGTATCACTCAATTATAGGCATCCATCTCAAAGCATTGACCTATTAATATAGAGTCCAAAAAGGCCAGTTTTGCAAAAACCAGAGGCCAAAAAGATATGTTGACATTCCCCAACTAACACTGTTATATCGATATGTATATCATCACCACAATTAAATATAAATATACAGAGTTGTAACTTGCTTTGTTGTTCGGTTTGTTTCACTTTTTGTCAAGAATTTATTAAAGAGGCTCAAGGCAAGGCCAAGAACTCAGAGGGATATTCAATTAGAGCTACTCAAAAAGCTGCTGGAGAATTTTTTGATGCTTCAAGTCAAGAATGTAATTTTGGAAGGACCTCAAAGAATAGGCTTCTACATGGACTAAGAGCATGCTTGGCTAAGCTTAAAAAGTTCACTTATACAAGTAAATAAGTAAGTTCTAAAATAAATAACCTTTTTCTCATCAGTCAAAGTTAGAGATACGGGTGGGGTAAAGAGTTACTTTCAGGAAAGTAACTATTTTTAAGAAAAAAATTACCGTATTTAAATATGTCTGGATACTACACCTTCTTCTTTTTTTTTTTTTAAAAGGATTAGCCGAACATGCTCTTAGACTTCCTGCAGCTAGGGGGCATCTTTGAGACCTTCCGAAATTTTGTTTTTCTTCTTATAAGGGCTAGATAGAAGAGACATAATCATAACATTGCCAGGAAATGAAAAATAAAAAATCGGACTCCTAATGACTTCAAAAACAGTTGGAATCCTAGATTGGTCCGAATAAAAACTTCAGGGATTCAAACCGAAAATTAACGGCCCAGTATATCAGAACTTAAGAAATTCATAAGCACGTGACCATCAAAAATAAATGAAATTGTTCAATATTCCAGCAGGTGGCTTGGGTCTCTAAGACAATAAAATATTAAATACACTGTATATCAAACCCAGAGTTCTTGAGATGTGTTTTGGCATAGGAGTGTATATTCGACCATGACTCAAACAACAGTTGAGCCAAGCTTGAGCATTTCTTTAGGCCTGTTTATGACACCAAACCAAGCTTAAAGCATCATATTGCTTGATATGACTTGGCTTATTACATCCTTGGAGACCCAATACTCCTGACATCTAGAATAATTGTTTCCTAAGAACAGTTCTATGAACACTTCTATCTTTTAGTTAAAAATAATAATAATAATAATAATAAAATTAAAAAAAATAAAATAATAATAATAATAATAATAATCAAAATAATCAAAAGAGCATGCCATAAATCACAAAATCCATGAGGTTGTCTTTCCATCTTTCCATCCATGAAATGACAATACAAGTGAGAGAGAAAGCAATGCCCCAAGAATATTTATCACTATCATAGTTTGCACTCCAAAATATCATAAATTGTCCAGTAAAAAATGGAGGTACCACAGTGATAAAAACTGATTGGTGCAAAAATGGTTGAAGGTTGTGGTTTTACACTAATATCATAGCCTCTCAGCCCTCTCCATCCAATTTGGTCACTGAAATGGAGAAGGGGAGGAAGAGGGAGGGATGTCTAGGATGTTCTTTATGTTGTTGAGGAAGAAAACAAATTGACAAAAGCCAGATCAGGTGAAAGAGGAAAAAATAACTGTAAAAGGAGAATAACAGAGAGAATAAGGTTAGCATCAGCAAAAGACAAAGTAGTAGGTTTCAATGTAGAGCCTTTTTTCTAGCTTGCTGTTTTACCTTATTTGTCCTGTCAAATGAGAAAAGGAAAATGCAAGTGCAAGAGCCCATTTCTGAACCCTAACAGTCACCTGGGTTCTGGAAAAACAGCTTCAGTAAGCTGTAATCTTTCAGAAGTGGAACTAGGAATATGTTTCGATGCCCAGATAAGATTTTTTTTTTTTTTCCCACATAAATAAAAATGTGCATGAGTATATAGAGAGGTAAAAGTACACACATAAAATATATGCATGTAGCTTCACCTTAAACATGATTTGCATTTCAAGGAGGTAACTCTATTGTTTTGCCCAGCTGCACGGATGGTTAGAAAATTTACCAACTTGTTCCCTCTGCTCCATGGTGAAGGCCCTAATGGAAAAGCGCAGTAAGAACCCTGAATACAGTGCACAATGAAAGTTGTCATATATGTTATGCAAACGAAAACTTGGGAACTTCTACAAAATGAGAATATAAGATGTAGCTGATTCAACTGGGAATAGATGATGGTGAACAGATGTGATAACAAGAGTCAATAAATGTCATTTTATCATGAATCAAATCTTGCAAGCACTGCATTGTAAGATATTCAGAGGTATCAGATAACAAGCTTAAACTCAATTGCAGTCACAATTATTAGAAAATTTGCATGCAGTTCCTGCAAATTGCACTAGAAACACACGTGATTCTAAGGACTTATTCTGCTAAATTAGCCCCAAGACATTGGCCTCTAAATAGAAAAGTAAATGCTTGAGCTTGCACATTTTATTTTTGTTTGAGGAAGTGATTGCTTGACTCAGTAGTAAAACAATTTGGGATGAAAATCAGAACACAATTGATTCAGACACAATAGAAGCTCCTTTCTGTGTGTGTGTGCTCAAAGACCCTATCATGGTAAGAGCCTTTTTTCCACCACCATAGTGGTGAGAACTGCATTACATTTCAAGCCTCAACCTTGATAGCAGAATAGAATTTAGAAGAAAAATTATAAACAGAAGGAATTTAAGATATGCAAGACAAACACTTCATAAACGATCTCGGATGAGATTAAAATCGGAAGTTAAACCTACATGACACTTCATATTCCAATAAAACAACCGTTTCCGCCTAACCAAACTAAAGCATCAAACAATCATTTAAAATACAATTTCAGAAAGCCAGGTTTACAAGAGCATCTTTAGAAAAGGCAATATATTATTAGCTTCCATCAAAGGGAAATAGTCAATTTTCTAATTACCTGCAACTGATGGGTCGTTAGTGCCATTGTCTACACTGTCTGCACGCAATCATTTACACTGAGTTCATATTTTCCCCAAGACCTGTAATCCCAGAGGGAAATTAAGAAAACTTACACACCCAAACAAAAACTCGTCTAATAGCAATCACAGCTCAGCTAACACGCCATAAAACTTATGTATCAGTTTATACATAAAATCACGGTATTATAGTTCCATGAAACAAACCAAATTGTCAAGGGGAAAATATATATAACAAAGTAACACTCCAGGAAGTACTTCAGCTAATTTGCAGGAAATCACTTTCCCCACCAGATTACTCCACGTAACATCTCAATTTAGAAAAAGAAAGAAAAGAAATGGGAGAAATCCAACTACCCAATTCGAAAAACATTCAGAAAATCCACACACACACACAAATACTTCCCCACCAGATTATCACACGTAATATCATGTATTCAGGAAAAACAGAACGTGGGTAAATTAATACTACCCAATTCGAAGAAGTTTCCGAAAATCCATAAACACGGGCATATATAAAAAGACACGTGTAAAAGACATACAGAGTGGGGGCCATACGACAACTTCAGAAGTGATTGCGAGCAAGTGATATAAGGAAGCGCGTGAAGATGGAATTCTTCTGATAGCTTTATCTGTTTGGTTGATTTCTTCAAGAACAGAACTTTTGCAGAGAGAAGGGGATGAAGATTTGGATAGGAGAAACAGAGGGGGCCAATTTTTAGAATGGTTGGATAATTGATTCAATTTTAACCTTTTTTTATAAGAAATGCTATTTTATCTTTACTAAAATTATTTGCAAGATATATCTTATATTTTTAAGGATTTATTAATCAGAACCTATATTTATATTTTTTAATTTTTCAAATACCTTTAAATATTTTTTATATTTTAGTAGTTTTTCAAAGATCTTAAGCTGATATTTCTTGATTATATATTCTCGAACTAATTTTTCTGAAATTTCTTCTTGTATTTCTATATGTTTGGATATAATATCATCTACCTTTCTTATCTCTCTACTAGTTCCTATAGAATCAAATCCTATATTATTTTTACAATTATAATCTATATCTCTATATATTTCTCCAATTTTTTCTTTGCCAACAGAAAATATATATTCAGACTTTTCAACTAATTTAAATAAAAACGAAACATCTTTTTCATCTAAAAATATTATGAGATTATTACCATTAGTGGATGTGGATGCTTGTGAATTGTTCATCAGAATAATTAAAGCATAAGCATGTAAAAACAATTAAATAACTTACAGTAATCAAATGAAAGTAAACAGGATTTCCCTCCAGTATGCTCTTATAGATGTTTTGCATGTGCTTAATCAATCTTCTTAATCAAGTAAAAGTTTAAAATGTTTTTGAAATCATTTAGGTCCACAACTGCTTCCGCAAAAGGCTTTTCAATTAAGGTTGCATTTCTCACTCTAGAGAACTAGCCGTGTTGCCACAGACGCTATCTCATAGTATCCAGAGTCTCTGTTTTCACCTCTATCCAAACTCTTTTCAGAATCAAGTTCCTATTTAGAACGAAATTTTAAAAGATAACTCACACGCAAGGTGCTACAATTTTGTTAGAAAATTGCCTTTTTCCCTTAAACCATTCATCAAAGAAGTGTACTTTGGCATGGCTAACATCCATTCAAAATCAATGTTTTGAAAATCTTTTAAAATCTCTATCTGTACTACCGAGGAATAA